ACATGTAAACATCGCTCATACGCGGCAGACGATATGGCCTTCAATTCACGCAACGATTTTTCTTTGATGTCCTCAATCGATTCGAAACGCTGTCGGTGAAGTGGTTCTTTCAGTAGGGAGAACAGGAAAAAGTCGCAGGGGGTCATGTCTGGTGGATAGCGGTGCTTGCGGAGCAACATTTGTTTAGTTTTTTGTCAAAAATTTACGCACAAGTGTCGAGGTATGTGATGGTGCGTTGTCGTGATGCAAAATCCACGAGTTGTTTTCCTACAATTCCGGTCGTTTCTTATGGATTGCTTCGCACAAACGCCTCATGACGGACAAGTAGTGTTTTGCATTGACTTTTTGACCAGTTGAAAGAAATTCCTGGTGCACAACACCGCGATGATCAAAGAAAACCGTGAGCATGACGTTAACTTTTGACTGCAAACGGTGAGCCCTCTTCGGTCTTGCTTCTTTTTTCAAACGTCATTCCGATGATTGTTGCTTTATTTCGACGTCGTATTGGCAAATCCATGTTTTATCACCAGTTATGATTCGTTTCATGTATGTGCTGTCTCTGGATACCGTAGAAATCATCTCAGACGACACCAATATTCGATTATCTTTTTGGAGAAAATTCAGGTTTTTCGGAATCAAGCGCGATGCGACCCGTTTCATGTCCAGTACAGTGGACAAAATGTGCTGGCACGATCCAAATGATATTCCAACTTCATCTGTTATCTCTCGCATAGTCAATCGACGATTTTGGAGCACTAATTTTTTCACTTTCTTATTGTATGCGTCATCCGTTGACGTTGATGGTTTTCCAGATGGTCTTCCAGAGAGTGGGTCGTCTTCAACGGATTCTTGTCCTTCTTGAAACTTCTTATACCACTCAAACATACTTGTTTTCCATAAACAGTCATCGCCATAACTTTTTGCAACATTTTGAATGCGTTTGTGAACGAGATTTCATTTGCAACATAAAATTTCAAACCAATTCTTTGCTCCATATTTTTCGACATCGTAAAAATCGCCGTGCACAACAATCTTCACTGACATAAACAACTGCCACTTTCAAATGGCTTGAAGGAACGCCATGATTTTTTCATCAAATGTGAAAGACATGTGTATCAACTTGAGAAAGCAAACAGATTTGATTTACAGTTTACCCGCGATTTTTAAAAAATAAAGTTCGGATACTTTTTGATTACAGTAGTATGCAAATTATAGACGCGGCTAGTAAATAGCGGAAATTTGAATCAGCTGACTAAAACTTAGCATAATCTAAAAATTAGCATAATCTAAATATCAAATTTTTATTATTCACATTGAGAGTTGGCGATTCATTCTAGCTGTTGGTCAGCAAAATAATTTATATATTACGTTTTGGAAAAATTTCCTAGGCATTGCAAGACTCGAACCTGAGGGACACCTCAGGCTCTCTTGAGTCAAGTGCCTTACCTACGAGGGTGGTCCGATAAGTACTTAGCCTACAAAAGAAAAACGAAAATTTTGGAAAAGTGGCGACTTATTTCTCAACATAGTCTCCTTTTAGCTCGATACACTTGACCCAGCGATGCTCCAACTTCTTTAACCTGTTTGAGAAATACGTTTTCTCGAGGTCTGCAAAATAGGCTTCCGTGGCGGCGATGACCTCCTCATTCGACTCAAATTTCTGCCCGGCGAGTGACTTTTTTAAGATTGGAAACAAAAAGAAGTCGCACGGGGCCAAATCTGGAGAATACGGTGGATGGGGCAGCAGTTCGTAGCCCAATTCGACCAATTTGACCGTGGCGAGGGCGGAGGTGTGAGCCGGTGCGTTGTCATGGTGGAAGAGCACTTTTTCTTCGCCAAATGGGGCCGTTTTTTCTGCAATTCGGCGTCGAATCGGCCCAATAATTCGGCATAGTACAGCCCTGTGACCGTTTTGCCCTTCTCCAGGTAGTCGATGTAGATCACACCTTGTGAATCTCAGAAAACGGTGGCCATCACCTTTCCGGCCGATAGGACAGTCTTCGCCTTCTTCGGAGCACGTTCGTCGGGTGAAGTCCACTGTTTCGACTGTTCCTTAGTCTCTGGTGTGTACCAGTGGATCCATGTTTCGTCGACGGTCACGAAACGACGCAGAAACTCCTTCGGATTGCGCTTAAACAGCGTCAAACACTGTTCTGAAGTGGTCTCACGGTTGCGCTTGTTGTCCGGAGTGAGCAAACGCGGCACCCATCGCGCCGACAGCTTTCTCATGCCCAAAATTTCATGCAGGATATGACCCACGCGGTCTTTTGAGATGCCTACTGTCTCAGCTATCTCGCGCACCTTCAATCGGCGGTCTGCCAATACGAGATCGTGGATTTTTGTCATGTTATCCTCCGTGGTAGCCGTTTTCGGGACACCTGGGCGTGGTTCATCAAAAACCGATGTGCGACCACGTTGAAACTCGTTAAACCAATTTTTGACGGTCGCCATCGAAGGAGAAGAGTCACCGTACACAGCATCCAAGAGCTCTTTGATTTCGCTGCGCAATTTCCCTTCCAAAAACAAGAATCGAATCACCGACCGATATTGCTCTTTTTCCATTTTTCTAAAATCCGCGGACACGCCCGCTTCCACACGCGGTCAAAACAAAACTACGAGTCCGATTCGGCTGAAATTTTGACAGTAGCCGTCTACGAGAATGTACTACACGATAGTAAATTTCTCTTGCGATAGTGGCGCCATCGGGCGGTGAGGCTAAATATTATCGGACCGCCCTCGTACTCTATGCTACTACTACTCTTTGGTAGAAACTGGTTTCACAGCATACATATATAAAGAGGGAGTGTGTATGAGTGTGTGTTAGTGCCGCATGCGAGAAGTTCTGGAAAAATCCTATGGGCCCTGCCGGATTCGAACCTGGGGTCACTGGCTCTTGAGTCAAGCGTCTTATGCACTGCGCTACTGCTTATACCCTGATGGAAACTAGTTATATTGCATACATACGGAAAGTATCGACGTTACACGTGAAAAATTTTGGAAAATTCTAGGCCTCATGGGACTCGAACCCTGAGACCCTTGCTTTTAAATCACGTGAGCGTGCGCGAGCATGTTCGAGTAGGCGATGATAATTTCGAAAACGAAAACTATCCAGCGATTGTTGGAAGACGATACCTCCGGTCTATATATACCCCAATATTTTACCTGTGAGGATCCCTCGCTTTCAAATTCTAAAAGTTTACGATGGGATTTGTTACCTCGAACTCACAGGGAAAATCACAGGGAAAAGGAAAAAGATACAGAGAAAGGAATGTATAACATTTTTCATAGAATTATTTCATAGAATTATGAAATTCACATTTCATTTTTCATGATTAAGATGAGACATTTATTATAATTGCTCGTACAATTTTATTTAAATAAATCAAGGTAATTTCTTAAAATGCAATGGGAAAATAAGTATCTAAAAACGTTAAATCTTTTAGTTGCCGGCATTTTGCTTGATTTCCTGATAGTTTTCGACGAGCATTTGTTTCACGACGTCCTCGTCTAAGTTTTTCTTGGGGAGTCTGACAACGTAAGTTGTGAGTTCTATCTTCGTTTCGAGGAATCGGGCGCAATCGTTTACAAATTTTGCAAACGACTGTAATTGTCCACATCGAGCGTCAATACATTTTGTTATAAGTTTTAGCCTATCAAAAGATGTCGTCTACATGATGTTTACTGTGTAGACTTTTCGTTTCTTCATCGGCGGCTGTTATTTCTGGGCTGAATCGGTAGGCATCCTCTTTAATGCGGTGTCACCTTTGCCATTTTCATATTTTCACTTACCATGATCGCCCTTGCCCCGTACGCTGTGATAAAAGTGATAGTCATATTATTCATATGGACTGGCTCCAGCATAATCTTGGTTACCAAGCGCAAGTAATCGCCTGTGTGTTTCATGTACTCCTTAAACTCTTCTCATGTGACGAAGTCGAACTGGATCCCTAAAAGTATTGCCAGATAGTTTTATTGTAGGTTCGAACGTTGTCCCGTCGTGTGATGCCCGCAATCCGATTTGCATCCTCTTGGTATCCGAAGCGTTGAGGGGGTAAATGGCGGAGAGAAGCATATATTAGGTATTAAACTTAATTTTAAAGGATTTACAAGATATGACGCAATAAGCACCTAATGGCATCGGCCCATACTGAAGCCAGAGAGAAGAAGGAGAAGTGTCATAGGCCGCTTTTAGCCGAGCCTAGAGACCCTCTAATAGAGAGTCTGGACACGGGCCTGAAAATGGCCGACTCAATGTGTTCTTTTTAGCTGCACAATGGTGCAAAAAGTATCAGTTTAATAGTGCAGTTAAAAAGAACAGCCTTAGGCCAAATGTGGGAGATAACATCATCAGTTTAATTTATCTGCTACGAAGAAGTTTCATTTATGTCATTTATATATTAATACGTTGACTGCCAACTACGAGATATCTCGTAGGTTGTTTACTTGCCCAAGACGCCTAACTACGAGTTATCTCGTCCCTTCATTACTTGCCATATTTGTACAGCTACAAGGAAACTCGTAGCATAACAATGTAAATATGAATAGATGGCCTCAGGAAAGAGAAAAAAAATGTTTTCTAAAAAAAAACATTTTTTAAGCTTTTTGATTATTACTATGTACTATTATTAAAGTTTTTAATAATATAACATGATTAAATCAAATTGGCTCTTTAGACCGGAATCGTGAAAAATTCTGTGGCAGAAACGTATTAATCAGTGACATATAACGGTATGTAATTAAAAATGAGGAAAATATTTTTTGTGCTTATTAATAGAATTATAATGTTGTAACATAAAATAAAATTAATAAAATAAATAAAATAAAAAAAAAATAAATAAATAAATAAATAAAATAATAAAATTTCAGAGTATGGACCCATATCTGTTTCTCTGCATAAATTCATGAAAAATATTATGTTTCTTTTATAAATGTTGAATTCGTTTATAAAATTCTTTACTTCTCATGTGTTTATGCTAAACAAAATAATATATGACGCTATCCAGAAGACACATTACCTGACATCCAAATTATCTACCCGTTCGTGCTAAGTAAGCAAGGTTTTCTATTGGTGCCGCCATTTCCACGCCACCGGTTCGTAAACCAATTACGCCGAAATCCTGGTGTCCAGACTCTTTATTAGAGGGTCTCTAGCTCGAGCCTAAAGTCCCTGAATTTATAAAATATCGCAATCCATAAGCAGAGAGAAGAAGGTGAGGTGTCACGGGCCGCTTTTAGTCGAGCCTAGAGTGCCTCTAATCAGAGTGGCGACAAGTTGGAAGGTCCGCCATGTTTTATCGAAATCAGGTGTGTTCAGACATACGCCGTCAGTACTGAAAATCTATGAAATGTACAATTTATGAACTGACCGTAAATATCGGAACATAGTGCAAAAAGTAACACAAACATTCGTATAACCTGTAAGCGTTTGATAACTGTTTATATTTTCGTTTTTATAGTTTTTATAGTTTCGTTAATTATTGCAAAATGGTTGGATGTACCATACCATTTTGCAACAATTCCTCAGAAAAGGGATATATTCTGAAAATAATCCCGAGAGATGATGAACGTCGACGATAATGGATAGAACGTATAAATACAAAGTATAATTGGACGCCAGCAAAACATTCATGTGTATGCGAGGTAAAATTATTTATTATGTACAAATATAGAATATGTTTACTATTCAATTAAATGTTACGGTAATATAGGTACACTTTCAACCTGAAATGTGGGAACAGAGGAGCGATAAGAAAAGAAAATTGAAACATAACGCAGTACCTACAATTTTTGAATATTTTGTAAAGAAACAAATTCCTGTTACGATACCTAATACCATTGAGGAAACACAGCAGCCCGTTTATGAAAAACATATAGCAGTAAATGAGAAACAGGTAAAATAGAAATGAGAGAATATATATACTACTGAAAGAAAGTATTTTTGAAGATTGCATTATATTGTTGTAGACGGTTATAAATGACATAGTTGAACCTGCTCCTGCTCCTACTACATCATTGTTAAATGATATAGAACACATTGAAGTAAATGAGAAACAGGTAAAATAGAAATAAGAGAATGTATATGTACTACTGAAAGAAACTATGTGTAAATATTGTATTATATTGTTGTAGATGGTTATAAATGACACTGTTGAACCTGCTCCTGTCCTAACTATATCATCGTTAAAGGATAAAGTGTGTACTTCACCTGCTAGCGATACAAAAGAGAAAATTGCTAATAAGAAGCTGGAAGAAAGAAATGAAAAACTGCAACAACGTATAATGCTCTTACGTAAACAGAATAAGGTATTGCGTTCACAAATACAATCACTCCAAAAGAGCGATACGAATAATAAATACAAACAAGTATTAAAGAAGGTATTCCACGAAGATCAAATAAAAGCGTTATTAACAAAACACCGAAGTACAAAATGTTGGTCTAATATAACTGTTCAACGTGCACTTAAGTTAAGGTTTGCGTGTGGTATAACTGGATATGAAGAATTTCTGCAACAAAAAATACATCTTCCAAGTTTGCGCATTTTACAACGACGAATAGAAAATTTAAAATTTGAGAGTGGTATTTCAAATGACATGTTTCACTTTTTACAAATGAAAGTGAGTACATTTCAAAATGATACCGACAGAGAATGTGGACTCGTTCTTGATGAGATGAATATAACACCTAAACATGTGTATGATTCATCAACAAAGACATTACTTCGAAATATAACGCTGCCACATGAACAAGGTACAGCAACGCATGCTTTGATATTTATGCTAACTGATACAGTTAGTCGATGGAAGCATATCATAGGTTACTATTATACAGGTGGCTCCTTTAATGGGGAAACTATGAAAGACATAATATTTCAGATAATTAAAAAAGCTGAGGACATTGGTCTTCATGTCAATTACGTAACTTCTGTCATGGGTCCAGGAAATGATAAGATATGGAAATGTTATGGAATAAATGTGGGACGGTATTCTAGTGTTAAAAATTATATACCTCATCCTTCTAATCCCGATAGAGTCCTATATTTTATTGCAGATGTGCCACATCTTTTGAAAAATTTAAAAGAATCATTGTTTTCAAATCAATTTTTTCTGTTGCCGGAGCAAATCGTTACCAAATATAACTTACCATCAAATAGAGTTGAAAGTGCACATTTTAATGACTTAATTGAATCTCAAAAGGACTTAGAATTTTACCTAACACCTAAATTACGTCACGATGATATTCATTGTACTAACACTTATAATAAAATGCGTGTCAATAAAGTACGGTCTGTTCTCTCAACCTATGTCAGTAGTTCTTTAGAATTTTTAGCCAAAGAGAATCAGAAACCAGAGTTATATACTACCGCGTGGTTTGTGAAACAAATGTCCAGGTGGTTCTCATTGATGACTTCTAGGTCATGTTGTTTAGCTTTAGGTTTAAAAAACATTGACATATACAATGACAGTATTTCTTTCTTACGTGAAGTAATTGAGCTATTTACCAACATAAAAATAGGTAATAAAGGAGTATTTAAACCTGTACAAAGAGGAATTATACTTTCCACTACATCAGTTATTGACTTAGTTGAATTTTTGTTAAACGAGCGCAACTTTAAATTTGTTTCGACAGATCGTTTTACGCAGGACTGCGTTGAAAATGTATTCTCAGTTTTGCGACAAAGACATGTGATTTCAGATGCTTTACAATTTAAAAATAATTTAAAACTGGTTGCCATATCCATGTTTACAAAACCAATATTGACAGGAAACTATGAGATTGATGATAGCGAATATCTTCCTGGTTCTATAGATTATTTAACATCTAAAAAAAATAATGTATCTCAGCCGTTTGTATCTGATGCATCTACAATTGTAGAGAACATTCCTCCTTTTGACATAAGCGTAGTGACAGAATATAATAATATATAGATGAATTGTTTATACAACGTTGCAGGATATTGTTTGTCATCTATAATAAAAATATGTAGGACATGCAATACTTGTGTGCGATCTGTCGTTTCAAAAAAACCACAAACTTTTCAATACTCGGAATTTGTGAGAATTAGATGTTATAATACTAATACCTTATATTTTGTTAATAAGCCAACATTTCAGGTTTTTTTACGAATGGAAAATATTTATAGACATTATAGTCCGTATTTTACTAATATGCGTAATGTAGATCTACATAAGTTTTTAGTTAGCTTATTTGACTCCGTTCCCACAGATCACATTCCAGATTGCCATAACATGCGTTTGAAATTATTCCACAAATACGCTACATTGCGTTTGCAATTTAAAAATAAACGTAAAATTGTATTACCGAATCGTAAATTCTATGACAGCAAGTCCATGGCGATGCATCATTCGTTCAAATAACTGCAAATCTATATACGTCTATTAATTAAATTATAGTTCTAAGTTTATTTAAAGTTTATTGCAAGTGTGTTGCAAGTTTATTTAAAGTTTATTTCAAGTTTGTTTCAAGTTTATTTCAAGTTTATTTCAAGTTTATTTTCAGTTTATTTAAATGTACTTACAATAATTGTTGTGCAACATGATTACAATGTTTTGTGCAATGAAACATTATTTTGGCATTAAATAATATTTTATTTACGCACCATTTGTTTATTTTCATTTATGTATTTGTTAACAATAAGTATCATTGTTTTATATGTTACTGTGATAATATGTTTTCCGAAAATGCGAAAAAACTCGTTTAATAACTGGCGGGAACGGATAAAACATGGCGGACCAATGAAAAGAGATATTCAAGTATCGTCACTCTGATTAGAGGCACTCTAATGTAGTCGACATACATGTCTGAAGTTGTGTTTTTTTTATAGCTTGAACCAGAGCTCGGCAAAATGTGCACGCGACGGCCGATTTTCGACTATCTCCGCCCACCGCTATTCCCTTTACCTCGCCGCTCCGCGCGCTTCCTACAAGCCGCTCGAGCCTCAGGAGCGTGTTTCCAATAGTTTCCTACATCATCCATGAAGTACTATTGTGGACGCGTTTTTTTTAAGTGGTATCCCCAGTAAGCCTAATCCACTGATGACTATAACAACCCGTAACTAATTGAACAGAAGCGAAATATTGTATAATATTGTATAATATATAATAAAATATGTTAAATGAAGAATATTCAATTCGACTTTCGGCGTATTTTATTGGTAAGAGTGGAAACGTCAATTTGGATATTGCATGTAACGAGCCGCATAAGACGTGGTAAGGAATCGTCGCTTAAAGAAGAATACTTCTCATTTTTTATAAACTTCATTTTTCAAAAATGAAGAGGCCTACTGGGGATGCCACTTAAAAAAAACGCGTCAACAATAGTACCTCATGGGTGACGTGGAAACTATTGGAAACACGCTCCTGAGGTTCGAGCGGCTTGTAGGCAGCGCGCGGAGCGGCGAGGTAAAGGCAATAACGGTGGGCGGAGATAGTCGAAAATCGGCCGTCGCGTGCACATTTTGCCGAGCTCTGGCTTGGACATCTGTTAATAATAACCAGTTGTAATACCAATACATATCGCAACGCAAAAATATTTTTTCTAACAACGAAGATGTCGAGTTTTGTGCAAAATAAACAACATTTGCGGGAAGCTTTGCTTTTCTGCTTTAACTTGAAAAAAAGTGCAGCTGAAGCACGTCGTTTGCTTGAGGAGGCCTACGGCGAACATGCACCATCGAAAACTACCTATGAAGATTGGTTTAAACGCTTCAAAAGTGGCGATTTCGACACTGAGGACAAGGAGCGCTCCGGAAGACCAAAAACATTTGAGGACGCCGATCTGCAAGCGTTATTGGATGAAGATGATACGCAAACACAAGATCAACTTGCGGAGGCATTAAACATGACTCGCCAAGGTATTTCTAAACGTTTACATGCCATGGGAAAAATTCAAAAGGAAGGAAAGTGGGTGCCGTATGAGTTGACTGAGAGACAGATGGAAAATCGAAGAGCCACTTCTGAAATTTTGCTTTTGCGGCATGAAAGAAAGAGTTTCCTGCATCGAATTGTTACTGGCGATGAGAAGTGGATATATTTCGAGAATCCCAAACGTAAAAAATCGTGGCAAAAAAACCTGGCGAAGCATCAACATTGACGGCACGGCCAAATCGCTTCGGAAAGAAGACAATGCTCTGCGTTTGGTGGGACTAGAAAGGAATCGTGTACTATGAGCTGCTGAAAAGAAGCCGGGCGAAACTGTCAATAGGCATTGCTACCGACAACACCTGATGAATTTGAATCATGCATTGCTCGAAAAACGGCCAGAATGGGACACGAGACACGAACGAGTGATATTGCAGCTCGTCAACGCTCCGTGCCATCGCACTTCCATCGTCCAGGACACCATCAAAACGCTGAAATGGGATCTGCTACCGCACCCGCTGTATTCGCCAGACCTGGCCCCTTCCGATTATCACTTGTTCCGATCGATGGCTCATGGCTTGGCTGGGCAACACTTGGCCAATTTCGAAGAAGTGCAAAATTGGTTGAATGAATGGATTCGGTCTAAAGATGCGTCGTTTTATTGTCGCGGTATTCATGTATTACCAGAGAGATGGCAAATATGCGAGCTTGCGAGGGACGATACTTTGAATAAACTATTTTTTGTATTTCTCTTGAAATTTTCCATTTCTCAACGATCAAAAAAACTCGGAAACTTAGTTGCGCACCTAGTATTAAAAAAAAATAAGTTGACCTTGATTTGACCTTGGCAACACCACTCACGGTCAAATTGATAAGATCAGTAAATATATCATTTTGAGCCTTATAACTTTTATCTGAAACACTTTTCTGTTAAACTTATATCTTTCGAAATTTTCCATCTTTTTTCCTCACCTTGTATATCTGTTACATTGTTTTGTTATAAGCTGGAGATAACATTATAATAATAATATAACAGTAATGTAACACGTTATATAACAGTAACAGTAAAGTTAGTTGCTTTCATATTACATTGATGTTGTATAACACAATTATTCATGCAATCCATTAAAAGCTGCAAATGTTTTCTATTGCGAATAAGGGTGTATTCCGATAGAGAAAGAAATAGCAAAGCGGAACAAATAAAAGTAACAAATAAAAGAAATGATGAGAGGCAAATCGATCAGAAATTCTGTTCCGCTTTTTTGTGGATGCTTTGTTATATAGTTCTATGTTTTTCTGTATTTTTAATGCTTTCATCGTGCTTAAGCAGATTATATTGAGAGATCGTATTACCTATTTATATTGATGTTCATAATGCATACTGATATGTATATCCCCACAAAAACGTACCATGTGGAACGCACGTTACATTCACGTGGAATCCACAAAACCACACGGATTTTACGTGAACATAACGTTCCTATTTCCATGGGGATATCCGCACTTATATTATTTAAACGTTTAAAAACGCTTGTATATTATATAAAACTCACACAGAAAGATTTCTTTAGGTTTAATATTCTTACTTGTTTAATTTTGAGATGTTTCATTAAAATATTATATTTTTACAATATCATTTTTAAAAATAAAACTATTTGATTGAAAAAACCATGTTGATGAAAAGCAAATTCGAGATATTCTTCAAAAATTTTTTTGGATTTAGTAATTAAAATTTTTTATTTAGACTTCCTTGAATTTATTTCAAACTATCTTTTGGAGGGTTAACCATTATAATACTTCATTATCAGTAATTTTGAAATACAGCCTATATTGATATTCGTCGCATATCGAATGTTGCGTTGGTTTAACTTTTGACAAGAAAGGTTATAATGTTCTGTGAATATTATAAAGATACATTATATAAGTACAAATCACAAGAATATCGTTGGAGTCATTGGAATAACTGCATTCTACTCGATTATTAAATTAAGCAAAGCCTAGCGCGGTCAGCATATGGATAGTGACCGTTTGTACCGCTTAGAAACGAAGCTATCGACGGACGCAAGATGCGAGAAAATTAGGAGTAATTTTTTATATAACAATAATATTTCAGTTATATAACAGCTATATAACATTTTAGTAATATGTAATATTTCTGTTATATAACTGCGACTTTCTGTGAATGGGAAATTACAACTAACATGTATGTAACATACACGTTATATAATATTACATGTTACATTTCGTTACAGTACGACAATGTAACTGTTATATAACTGTGTTTACTGGGTATTCTTTGGTAACTATTTAAATATGTCTAACTATTTAAATGTAACTATTTAAATGAATCTAAATAATTCTACCGTAAATCTCCTCGATTTCTGTCATTAATCTATTGTCAAATTAGCAGACTTTGTTGTAAAAACACAAATCTAATGCACAGACACAGATATTTATTAATCTACTCTTGGATTCTAGTTGAATATATTGCCAATCCGCCAGTACATTGCTAACAGTGTGCTTGTTGAGATTATATTCAGGGTTAATATCGATCATAAACGACAAGTAATAATTTACTAAGGTCGAAAGAGTTTAAGAACGAAAAAGAAAAATGTTACCTGAAAATGTATAAGCAGTCTTTGACCAGAAGGACCCGTGATATTGCTGGACGATTTACAGACTACAATGGCCATTGCTAAAATTTGCACGAGAGCACGAATAGCCAGTAGAATCATAGGATCTACGTTACGGACCGCCTTGACTAAAGCAGAGCTGATAGTAAAAAAAGTTCCTGATAGGAACGCTAAGAATACACCGTACCATTTAGTACTATCTCGATAAGTTTCGCCATTATTAGCAAACTGCTCAGTATAATGGTAAGCTGGATGAATGCTGTTATACGAAGCAGTAGATTCTACGCTGAACTTCATCGTGTATACACAAGAGTAAGAACTAAGAACACTGACGATCGTACTGAATGACACTCGCGCAAATAATATTAGTTGAACACGCATCTGCAGCGGTCTGTTCTCAATTAGCATATTTAAGCGGTCAGGGGATTATTGAAGATTAAAATGTTAGGAAGATTCGGCCAAATGGAATGATGGCTGTAAAGAGAATATATCATCGATAAATACATAGTTTTACGAGATATCGTTCTAGAATGAATAAATTGTTTATCTCTTGTATTAGTAGAATAAAAATTACAAAGATACACATTATAAATGAAGACTGAAAATGTGGATTTCTACTAAATTATAAGTAAAATGTGATTATGATCATAAGTTAACGATGAATTCAGAATATTTAATACAAACACGATGAGTTTACAGAATAGTTTATTAATAAATCTGTTTGATACTTATACAGGGTGTCCCATAATTGTAATACACCAACTCCATAGGGGCGTAGAGCTAAGCAAGAAGAATGAAAAAGTCCTTTTCCATTTAGCGATATCTCGTATAATTTTTTAGTAATAACCGTATAAAGTTTGACGTTTGTCACGCCCATCGCGGCCTATAGACGTTCCGCGGCGAGCTGTGTATGTCGAAGCTGAGCAGTAACGCGGCTCACGCTGACCGTCGCGCAGCATCAAAGCGCCAAAACGCCATCGCGATGGTCAACGCGAGACGCGTTATCGCTCAGTTTCGACGCACACAGCTCACCGCGAAGCGTCTATAGGCCGCGATGGACATGACAAACGCTACCCTGTATAAAACGTCGAATTGAAACGTATTAAAAAATATTGACATTTTGAATATGTCTGAATTCTGCTTTCTGATCCGAAGAAAGGGATTAAAAAGTATTAGTTCCCATTAAATTTCACTGTGCTAAATGCGAGACGGCAGTGGTGAATGCTTTGCATTAAAAAAGATTCAATTCATTTCAAATATGCCTTGCATTCAATCGTAATCGATAATTTTCAAATGCGAACTTTCGCATTGAAAAGTATTCACTTCTTCTGCTAATTATTTTCGGATTCAGAGGCATATAAAATTTTCACGTTTTATTCTCCGTCGCATTGAAAAGTATTAGCCCATAGTCCAATCCAAGATTTCCGCAAAGCAGAATTCACGATGAAATCTCGTGAATGCGAAACAATACTTTTACATATGACATTTTATACAGGGCAAACTTTACGCGGTTATTACTAAAAAAAACTATACGAGATATCGCTAAATGGAAGAGGACTTTTTCGTTCCTCTCGCTTAGCTTTATGTCCCTATGGAGTTGGTGTGTTACAATTATGGGACACCCTATATAGTATTGCTGCGCCCGTGTCTTTGGGGGACATGTTATCCCCACGCTCCTGGGAGTGGACTGCAAAGGAATCGAGTAGAGATTGTTTGACAGCTGTTGTTGTCAAGGAGGTTGTTTAATAAATAAAAAAGGAAAGAAGAAGAGAGAGAGTCGCCCTAGTCTTGTCACGACGAATGGACGTATTAAAATAAAGCTTCTTTCGTTTTGTTAATTCCGTGTTATTTTTCTTGCGCAAGGGCGCAACATTTTGGGGGCTCGTCCGGGATTAGATCGACGTCGTGCGGGAGCATTGACGCGATTTTTTTATTATCCGAGTGAAAAGAAGTATTGTGAGAAATGTTACATTCTCCGATGGCAACTTGGAATCAAACAGCAGAAGCCCGTCAGGCGGTTGCGGCCGGACAGGAAGCAGAGACAGAGGCTCCGACGTTGATAGCAGCGATGAGAGAGTTGCGTCAGCTACGCGAGGAGCGGGAACAAGAGCGACTGGAGCTCCAGGAGTTGCGACAAAATCGGAGGATGGAGCAGTAAGGATAAGGGGAAAATTGTCAAGGCCAGTGTCAAAAATGTCTTAATTTAAAACCCGATATTTACGATGGTACTGAGTCTTTTTATGAATATGTCTCTCAGTTTGAATTAGTTGCGCGAGCTAATAAATGGAGTGAGGGAAAGGCTTTAGTTTTTTGCGACAAATTTGAGAGGGAAGGCGCGTTCAGTTTTAGATGGGATAGAACAAAATTTAGATTATAATGAGTTAAAATTGAAGTTAGAATTAAAGTTTGGTTGTTTAATCCGCATCGCATTGTAGGAAGGGCTATTAAGTGATGTTGTTTACTGTATTCAACAATCTTCTAAGCATAAAAAAAAATTGTTCATGCAGATAGATTAGCTACTTATTAGTTTAGGAAAAGATATTAAAAGTTATTTTTATTGCTGTAGATTTTAGTTGAAATTGTAAAAAACAGATACTCTCTTTTTCTTGTGTGAATTTCAGGAAAGAATAAGGCTGGTTGTGAAATTGGTGAAGCTTGGATGACATTAAAAAATCTAAGGCCACCTTACTCACGGTTTTTGACCGTGGTTTTCCCGTGAGCCAAAAGGCGAATGCCAAGATGGGGGTAAGGGGTGTTCTTTTAAAGAACGTTGGGTTCACGGGTTATACCCCCCTTTATCCGAAGAAGGAGCTGAAGAACGGTGAGCTGAAACTTCAAGCGTCACGTCGACAATTTTTCGGCCTGGTAGCTGTTAGGACAAGAAATGGTATAGTCAAGAAAACCTGAGACAGCAGTCCAGGTTGTGACAAGGAATCGCCAGAAGTGCCTTGGAGCAGCAAAGATGGTGTGAAATTTTTGGAGACAGACTCGTAGAAGAGCATTGAGAGCAACTCTTCCATGAAATTGTCGGGACGACAATTTTGGAAGAGGGGGGGGCAGTGCTGCACCCGTATCTTTGAGGGACATGTTATCCCCACGCTCCTGGGAGTGGACTGCAAAGGAATCGAGTAGAGATTGTTTGACAGCTGTTGTTGTTAAGGAGGTTGTTTAATAAATAAAAAAGGAAAGAAGAAGAGATGAGAGAGAGTCGCCCTAGTCTTGTCACGACGAACGGACGTATTAAAATAAAGCTTCTTTCGTTTTGTTAATTCCGTGTTATTTTTCTTGCGCAACTAGCAAGCTGGAAAACTGGCTAAGGCAACTGGCTAAGGCAAGACTGGAAAGGTTTATAGCAATTGTTCAAAATGTTCACCAAAATGTCCATCAATAGTTTGACAAAAAGCTACTCTATCGTAAAAAGATGAAACGACATTTTGAATGTAATCAATAGGAATAATAGCAGCTTCATCAAGAATCCGATTTCATAAATCATCCAGATTTTGTGGATTTGTTTTATAAACTCTGTCTTTTAAATAACCCCACAGAAAGTAATCAAGAGGTGACAAATCTGGCGATCGAGGAGGCCATTCTACAGGTCCTCTTCTGCCTATCGCGGAGGAAATCCTGTATCTGGATAATTACGAACGTCCCTCCTGTAATGTGGCGCAGTACCATCTTGCTGAAACCATATATTCTCGAAGTCGTTACCCGTGATTGCTTGTATCGCTAGAGCTATTTCATTTCTTAGCATATTCTCATATTTTATCACTGTTAGATTGCCTTCAATAAAGAATGGACCTATGAGAACATTATTCAAAATGTCTGCCCAAACATTCAATTTTTTTAAATACTGCGTATGTGATTCTTGAATCCAGTTAAGATTTGTATTTGACTAGAATCTACAATTGTGTCAATTAATATAGCCATTTAACTGAAATGTTGCTTTTCAGATGAAAAAACTATATTTGACAGATAGTTAGGATCTTCATTTATTCTTTCCATCATCAACTTACAAAATTCAATACACCTATCAAAATCATTATTACTTAGCTCTTGCACGAGGTGGACTTTATAAGGATGAAATTTATTAAGTTTTAATATTTTGAGCACAGATTTTTTATTTAGATCATTTTGCTGTCCTACTTTGCGGGTAGAATCATGCGGATTTTCGATGAAGAGTTGTGAAACATCTAATGATTTTTCTGGATTTGTTGCTGATGCAGGTTTACCTGATATTACACGATTTTTCACATTACCAGTTCCCTCGCTTTATTGTTCTCTCAAAAGATTTTGAAATGGCGGTATCTTGATCACGAAATGTTTCATTGAAAACTGCTTTACATCATTATACAATCTTAATCGATCACCCCATCCCCTCATCGTCAGAAGAGATATGCATTCTCGCTCTGAAAGACGTAGCATATTAACAAGCGAAAGAATTAGTTAAACCGAATAAATTAATATTTGGATCAATTTAAAGTTTTTCTAAAGACAATGCTGAAGAATAATGACTGAATGAAATGCAAGTGACGACAGCTAATGCTGTTTCTTAACTGTTGCTCGAATTCGAAAATCGAAATATTTAATATTCCTTTCACTTTGTATTTTAAGAGAAAGTCGAAATCGCGCAGGCGTGCAACCTCCACGCGGTACACTTTGGGTAATGCTAATGCCGGCGGTACTGTAACTTTTAAATTTTGTAACTCGCAAAATATTTAACGAAAAATCATTAAGTTATAATGTTTTGGAAAGCCTTTGAGATAAGCTACAAGAATATGTAATGCAAAATAGGGAGTTCTATTTGAGAAATTTAAGATGATCTTCATGTGACTTTGATAACGTTATTCAAGGTCATACTGATATTGCTATGTAATGCGTTACTTGAAACTCTACAACTTTTGTCTGAAACATTTTTTCATAAAAATATTTTTCGATATATTTCGGAGTCCAGGTATTTTTTTCTCACCCTATATGTATACAGGGTATCCGTAAAGTCCGATCCTACTCCTGGATCTATGAAACGGCTTTAAATATGGAAAAATATTTCAGATAAAAGTTGTAGGATATTGAGGGGAACACATGATAAAAATATGAACTTGACCTTGAATGACTTTACCAAGGCCAGGTTAATGTGATCGATGTTTTCTTAAACAGAACCCCCTATTTTTTATTGCATATTCTTGTAGCCCTTCTCGAGTTGTTTTCAAAGTACTGCCTATTTTTGTTTTCTGCACAAGCCATTCTCAAGATATGAAACTTCAAAGCTAACATACCGCCGACATTCGCATTATCCAAGGCGTACCGCATGGAGGTTGCGCGGTCAGATTTATGCCTCTTTTGTGTGTGTATTTGTCTGTCTGTGTGCGTATGTGTATCACAGTAGAGATAAGAACCCCACAGTTTCAGTGTCCCTCGGTACTCATTTTGAGCATCTTCTGCAGTAACAGCAAGAAAATAACTAATGTAAGGGGAAAGAGAAGAAGAAGAAGAGAGAGAGAAAGAGAGAGAGAAAGAGAGAGAGAAAGAGAGAGAGAGGGGGGGAGGGAGAGAGAGGGAGAGAGAGGGAGAGAGAGGGAGAGAGAGGGAGAGAGAGGGAGAGAGAG